GTGTCCCCCCGCGTCCCCAGCGCCCAGAGCAAGCGCTCGAAAAGCCGGGCAGGCCGCGGGCCATGGTCCCCTTCGAGGATCTTGGGGAAGACCCGCGCGGTGGCGACAGGTGCAGGTGCGCGTGAACCCCGCGCCATTCCGTGGCCCCCGCGGACCCCGCACCCCGCGCCCGTGGCCAAGACTGGGACAGCCCCGTGGCCCTTACCTTCCCACTCCAGCTCATTGTCGTTGCCCAGGAACTCGAGCGAGTCCATCTCGTCGGGGGTCTCAATGTTGTCCACGTTCATGTCCAGGTTGTCGGTGTGTCCAGGAAGTCGTCGGACAGCGAGATGCTGATCTCCGGGGCCACCAGGGTCTTGCATTTCTCTGGCAGGGTCGGTTGAAATTCAGTGCACCAGGAGGGGCTGGGGAGAGGCCGACAGGACCTGTGGCCCCTCGCGCTCCCCCCACCCCACTGCCCTGCCTGGCAGAGGAGGCGGAGTGGCAGGGCCGGGGCGGGGCAGCCATGGCCATCCCCTGGCGCCTGTGGGGCAGTGGGTAGGCACTGGCTGCAGCAGTGAAGGCGCCACGGGTCCTGGCTCTGCATCCAGCCAGCCCCAGCCAGCCCCCGTGCTTGCACACCCTGGGCCCCTGCACCACCCGTGTGACTCCATGGAGCTCCTGGCTCCCGGCTTCAGCCTGGCCCGGCCCTGGCCATCACGGGTGTCTGGGGAGTGACCTAGCAGGCGGGGGTCTCTGTCTCTGACTTTGCCTGTCTCCCGTTTAAATAAATACGTAGAAAAATGTAAAAGGTGCGTCCTGGCAGAAAATGGTCAGGTCATAGTTCTGTGCATGTGCTCAGCACTGTGGACTCAGGAGTGGCCTGGTAGGGAGGTTACCGTCCTGCCCAGAGGGCACCTGAGTCCCAGACCTTGCTGGCTAAGACAGGCAGGAGGCAGAGCCCCCCCTCTCAGACGGGGCTCAGCGGGAAGCGGGCTGGGCTTGGGGGGCTGTGTGTGTGTCATGCCAGCATCACTCCTCTCCTTGTAGGGGCCAAGGGAGGGCCCAGCAGTGACCCTGACACTGAGGGCTCGTCCTTGCCCAGGAGGCACTGGCCCCTCAGAGTGGCCATATGGCAGTGAGGACAGATTGGAGCCAGAAGGTCACCCCCAAGCCTCATACCAAAGGGACCCGCCCTGAAAAGTAAAACCCAAAGCATCTGCCCCCCCCAGGCTTCGGAGTTATGTGTGTGTGTGGGGGGGGAGGGGTGTTGCTTCCCTCTGCATGGAGCTGCCTGCCCAGGAGCAGTAACTCCGGTTTCGTGGTCCCTGGCTGGAGAGGAATTCTAGCCCAGGATAATCCAACCCGAGTCTTGCGCCCCTGATTCCTATGGGATTTCGGGGCCTGAACTTGATGCTGAGTGACTGCGGGCAGACGGTGCCTGCGCGCCTGCCCTGGGCAGGGGCTGCCACGGGCCCCCTCTGCGGCAACCACACCCCACATCATGAGGCTGGGGCGAGTCCTGGAGGGCAGCAGGGAGGGCTCCCCCGTGGGCATTGCCGTGGCCATCTGGGGACTGAATCAGCAGTGGGGATTCCCTGTCTTGGCTGCTCAAGTCTAATAAAGTCTTGAAAATGTCTTAAAGATTATTTGGGTGCAAAACGGCCTGCAGCCCACACACTTTCCCAGCATGCACTGTCCTCGCCCTGCAGGAGGGGCTGTTGTGGGGGTGCGCATGGGTGTGGAGGCCCAGGGAGAGGCCACCTGCAAGCCCCGCCCCGGGGGTTTGGGCCTTTCTCTCCTGGGCCCTCGGCTGATTAAAGGAGGCCCAGGCATGTTCTAAGTCCATGGATTTAAACATCCTTAAAGTTGTATTCATTCACTTACCTACCTTATCTTTCTGCAAGGCAGAGTGACAGAGGGGTCTTACACACACTGGTTCACTCCAGTGCCTGTAGCCAGGGCTGGGCCAGGCCGAGGCCGAGAGCTGGGAGCTCCATCTGGGTCTCCCGTGTGGGTGGCAGGGGCACTTGAACTGTCACCGCTGCCTCACAGGGTGTGGACTGGCAGGGAGCTGGCGACAGCAGTGAGAGCCCGGCACTGGACCCAAGGGCTCCACTGTGGGACAGGGGAGCAGCCTGTGGGGTGGGGGCGTGGCCTGGGTCGGGGTCGTGGCCTATGGGTCGGGGCATGGCCTGTGGGCTGGGGAGCTGCCTTTGGGCTGAGTGCCAGCCCCGTGTCACCTCTTTGACCCTTACAAGCTCACTTCCTGTGATTCACAGCTGAGGAACGGGCGGAGGCACAGACAGGCTGAGTAACTGGCTCAAGCACTCACAGCCATGTCCCCGTGGACCCTCCCCCACAGGCCCCGGAGCTGGGCAGCCCCCTTCCCTTCAGGGCCTGGGATCTGCTGGCCCAGTTCCGGCAGAGCCATGCCTGGTGGTGTGCAGAAACTTACAGGCCATGTCCGCTGCCCCGCTGTAGAGCGACTCCGTCTCTGTGTCTTCGCGCAGCAGCCTGCACCCTCAGCGGCCGGGAGGGCAGTGCCTCCAGAACGTCCAGCTAGAGGAGGGTGGTGGGCCAGGCGGGGTCTAGCGGAGGGGGTTCAGACAAAACAAGAACAGAGTGCACTTAGCGTTGGGCCCGAGCGCCTCTCTGCTTGGGGCAGAGCACAGCGAGCCCGCGCACAGGCTGGGAGTCGCAAATGTGCCCAACCTTGGGAGCTATGGCCCAAAGCCAGGCTGCTCAGGCCCTTGGGAATCTAAGTGGAATCCTCTGCGCTGGGCCCTTGGTTCTTGGAGTTTTGTGTTCTCTTTAGCTCATGCTCAGTGTGAGAGGCAGAGCTCGAATCCACTGGGTCACCCCGGGTGCCTGGGAAGGCTGAAGGAGCCGAAGCTCAGAGTTCTGCGTGGCTCCCCCCTGGGTGGCAGGGAGCCAGGGGGGTGTCGACTGGGAGCTGAGTCGGAGGGACCCAGGGAGCTGAGTCAGGGGGACCCAAGGTGGGCGTCAGCTGAGAGCTGAGTCAGGGGGGACCCAGGGTGGGCGTTGGCCGGGAGCTGAGTTGGGGGACCCAGGACTGGGACCTAGAATGCAGATGTCCTAGCAGGTGTTAGGGCCAGCATGGCGGTAGAGCAGGTTAAGCTGCCACCTGTCACACCACCAGTTCACATCCTGGCTGCTCCATTTCCGTTCCTGCCCCCTTCTAATGTGCCTGGGAAGGCAATGGAGGATGGCCTAAGTGCTGGGCTCTACCAGCCACATGGGAGACCCGAACAGAGCTCCCAGCTCCTGGCTTTGGCCTGGCCCAGCCCTGGCCATTGCCGCCACTTGGGGAATGAACCAGCAGATGGAAGACCTCTTTCCCTCTCTCTGCATAGCTGTGCCTTTCAAATAAATACACAATCTTCAGGAGGAGAAAGAAAAGCAAGTGTCTTAAACGCTAAGCTGAGCGCCCGCTGTCTCTGGGGTCTTGTCTGTCAAGAACAGGGACAAGTGTGTCAGAGCTGCATCACCGTCAGCCATGGGGTCCACGGCTGAGCCACCAGATTAAACACAGGAGATGGGATGATGTCTGCGGGGAGCCCTGGCTGGCACACAGGTGAGAGAAGGTGCAAGTGGACCACGGGGGCTGCACATGGCCCCCACTTGGAGGTGCACAGGCCTCACCACAGGGGCCGTGCAGGCTGCCCATGCCTTCCACCTTTTGAGACTGGGGGCGGGGCTCCCCGCTCCTGTGTCTTCCCCCCTGAAGACCAGCACCCGTCTGGCCAGTCAGGGGCCGTCTGCAGCCCTAACTGGTTCTCCTTCCGCCACTCCTATGGCCATGAGGGGGTGACAAGGAAATGTCCCACGGGGTCCCCCAGGGAGCAGCCCAAGCAGATCAGAGTGGGGGTACACATGGTGGCCCAGCGCTCGAGACACCCGTGTGTGTGGCCACCACCTGGGATGCCCCTGTCCCCGATGGGGTGGCCGAGTTCAAGTCTCCACTGCTCAGGTACCGGGGCTGCTGCCCCCTCAGGAAATGGAGCTTGGGACATGCAGATGGGAGGCCTCTGCCTCTCAGATGGACCAGGCTAACAGGATATAAACCCCCAGTCACAGGAGGACTTGGAGACAGCGTTGTTCCATTCACAGGAACCAGAGAGCCTTGAGGGAAGGCTGCAGGGTGAAACCAAGGTCCGGGCCACACCGGGCACCCCTGCCAGCTCCCAGCGGGGCTCGCTCTTGACCTGCCGCCAGCACTCAGGCTCCAGGTGCCTGAGCCACCCCTGCCCATCACTGGCGCCAGGTTCTGTGCTGGGTCTTTTAGATCCCAGCTGCGGGGCTCTGCCAAGTCAGCAACCAGGGCCTCCTTTCCCAGCGCTGCTGGCTCAGCATGAAGCAGAGGCAGGGAATGCTTTTTATCATCCCCTCTACTGTTTCCTTAAGAGATATTTGGGGGGCCAGCACTGCAGCACCAGCATCCCATAGGGCGCCAGTTCCAGTGCAGGCTGCTCCACTTCCCATCCAGCTCCCTGCTGTGGCCTGGGAAAACAGTGGACAATGGCCCAAGTGCTTGGGCCCCTGCACCTGTGTGGGAGACCCATATGGAGCTCCTGGCTTCAGATCAGCACAGTTCCGGTCATTGCAGTCAATTGGGGAGTGAACCAGAGGATGGAATTGTTCTCTCTCTCTGCCTCTCTGTAACTCTGCCTTTCAAATAAATAAAATCTTTTAAAAATTAAATAAAATATAAAATCTGAAAAAAAAAGAAAACTAATGCCTCTCTCTTTGTTTTTGTTGCATATGATTGCTTTAGCTATTTGGAATCTCCTATATTTCCATATGATTTTCAGCATCGTTTTTTCTACATCTGTGAAGAATGTCCTTGGTGTTTTGATGGGAATCACATTGAGACTATAAATTGCTTCTGGTAGTATGGACATTTTGATGATATTTCTTCTTCCAATTCATGAAAATGGAAGAATTTTCCATTTTGAAATGTCTTCTTCTATTACTTTAATATTTTGTAATTTCCATCAAAGAGATCTTTACATCATTGGTTAAATTTATTCCAAGGTATTGAATTCCTTTTGTAGCTTTTGTGAATGGGATTGTTCTCAAAAGTTCTTTCTCAGCCATGGCATTGTCTGTGTATTTAAAAGATGTTGACATTTCTATGTTGATCTTATATCTTGCCACTTTACCAAACTCTTTATTTGACAGGTAGAGTTATAGACAGTGAGAGAGAGAGAGACAGAAAGAAAGATCTTCCTTACATTGATTCACTTTCCAAATGGCTACTACGGCCAGAGCTGTACCGCTCCAAAGCCAGGAGCCAGGTGCTTCCTCCTGGTCTCCCATGAGGGAGACTGAAAAGAGAAACTATTAATAGTGAAAATTTTACATCTTTTACTTCTCCATTGCTTTCAGAAATTGCTTTGTCTATACTAAACCATCATTTTGTCTGTGACTTAGCAATCCAGAGTGAATCTGTGTGTAGCACAGGACCTAAACTACACAGAAAAGCATCTGCATCATCTAAACTTTCCCTTTACTCTCAGTCACCTGAATCTGCAGGAAGACTGGTATACAACACACACACACACACACAACACACACACACAGAGTTCCCCCTTTCTCATTCCTTCACCATATCCCCTCTCCTTTCCTCTCTATTTGCTCTTCCTCCACAACAAATAAAAATCTTTTTCCTCCTTTTTAAGAAGGTACTTCCTGATTACTCTGTTCCCAGAGATATCCCAAGATGTACATCTTCCTATCTCTTTAGCTTAGGTAGAGCATATATTTTCTACAGGAACTGTCCTTTGTTTCCATTTTGTGGTTCCACTTTTGGAAAGTTACTCAAGCCTACTACTTTTAGCAGTCAATCATGATAAGGAATGAAATTAGAATGAAATGTGGAATGACAAGTTTTGTAGATATCATGTCCATTTAGCTGATAGTGTTCATTAGTTCTGTTGCTTGTTTTTTTGATTTTATGTCTAGTTTACCTGATTATTGATGAAAATGTTTTGTCAAAGTCCAGCATTACAATTGTATTGAAGTCTATGTCTCCCTTTAAGTGTCCAGGCTCCCTGGTGTTGGGTGCATATACATTTACTATAGTCACTGTGTCCTGTTGGATTAATCCCTTAATCATTATATAGTGCCCTTCTTTATCTCTTTTTACAGTTTTTGTGTTAAAGTCTATTTTGTCTGATATTAGGATGGTTACATCTGTTGTTTTTGGTTTCTGCTAGGATGTAATATCTTCTAATCTTTTACTTTTGCTCCGTGTGCATTTTTGTTGGTGAGTTATGTTTCTTGTAATCAGCAAATAGATTTTCTGCTTTCACATTTCTTCATAATGATATCTATCTTTCTGTGTTTCTGTGTGTAGCACTTCCACAAGCATCTGCAAGACTGGAAGAGTAGTGACAAATTGGATTTCTGTTTGTTATAGAAGGTCTTTCTTTCATCTTTGTTCATGAATGAGAGCTTTGCAGACTACAGTATTCCGGGTCCACAGTTTTTTTTTTTTTTAATTTTTCTCTTAGTACATAGACTAAGTCTCTTCATTCTTGCCTAGCCCGTAGAGTTTCTGATGAAAAATCAGCTGTGAGTCTAATTAGAGATCCACTGACAGTAATCTGTCACTTCTCTTCTGCACATTTTAGGATTTTTTCTTTATATTTTCTTTATATTTTACTGTTGATAGTTTAAATACAATGTGTTGTGGTGAGGATCTTTTCTGGCCATGTCTATGAAGAGTTCTATGTGCTTGCTGTACTGGGATGTCCTTTTCTTTCTCAAACTAGGGATGTTTTCTGTAATTATATTACTAAATAGAACTTCTAATCCTTTCTCTTTCCACAACTTCAGGAACTCCTAAGACCCATATTTTGGGTCATTTGACACATCACTTAAATTTCCAACACTATTTTTAATTTTTCTAATTTCTTCTTTTTTTTGGTCTTACTGAAAAATTTCTAAGTTTTGTCTTCTAGATTGGCTATTCTTTCTTCTGCCTCACCCCAGTCTGTTGTTTCCACCAAGTTTTTATTTGACATATTGAATTCTTCATTTCTAATGTTCATTTAGATTTCTCTACAAAATCTCAAGTTTAATGGTAGATTTTTTTGATCATGTCATGCATGGATTACTTGAATTTGTGAATTTGCTCCTCATTGCTTCTGAGTAATCCTATGATTAATCTTTTGAATTCAATTTCAGTCTTTTCATCCATCTCTTCATCTTGCATTCTGATATCAAGTGTTGTGTTATGTGGGGGGAGGGAGTCCTCTTATCTTCCTTATTCTTGTTTCTTGAATTTCTGCATTTATTTTTGGGCATTTTCAGAGTTCCATGTTGGTTTTTCCCTCTGATCTCTTTTTTTAACTGCCTCTGTGTGTTAGTGGAGTGTTGGGTGTTTCAGTGATATATCCAGTTGTGTGTGCTGAGTGTGGCCAGAATTCTGGTCAGTGCCCCAGGGTGGTAGGAATATACTGGGCAATACAGATCTCCTCTTGTTAACAGAAAATGGAGGTATGGTCAT